TCCATGCCGCGGTGTGCGGGCAGGACCACGGCCGAGATGGCGTGACTGAACTACATTTTCATTTTGTTTGTTGGCATGTGTGCTGGCTCACGGGCAAGTGCGCCCAGCTTGAAAACTGCGTATTCTTTTTGTATGCTGGCATATGTATGCTGGCCGTTGGCATATCGCCGACGTGAAAACTCTTGACACTGGCATAGTAGATGGCATAATGTGTGGCCGAGGGGAATTTTGGCATTAAAAATTGTTTGTGCGTGGACGAAAGATGGGTTGACGCGTTGGACGCACGGCCGACTCATTTCCAAAAGAGGGAGGACATGCCAACCCATACCGACAAAAGGCAGACAAAGCGTGAGTCTGTTTGGGTCGCGCGATGGGAGTTGCTCTAACCCCGCTAGTGATTAAATTGATCATGTGAGAGCACACGATTCACTTCGTCAACGCCTCACTTTCGGTCTAATCAGCCGCTTGTGCGCCTTTCCATAGGATCCCATGAAGATCGTCATTGAGTACATACGCACCTCCACCGATCGAACCTTGGGTTTATCACTGTGTTATGAGGATCCCATGAGAGCACACGATTTCCAAAAAAGTATTGTTTTTTGGAGGGCAGGCTTGAGATTGTTTAAGCCTGTCTAGTAGATTTGCCGCTGGTGTTATCCCTTTGGACCGCAGTGTGACCGTCTTAAGGTCCTCACCGTGGTTGTCCGACTCGCACGTTGCTATTGCGCCGCCCCTTCAGGGCCTGAGAGCCATGGCACGCGGTCCACCGTGAGTTGACTTTGACGTGGTATGCACCGCGTCGCCTTCCTAGACGGGGAACGGTACTCTCCACGTATGGTTTTCATCACGCTGTCGGGTTTTTCGCCTATTTCGAGCACCGTCACATCGCTTCTAACTTAGCCACCGCCACTGCCGCTCTTCTTCTGCCGCCCCCGCAGCTACCCCCGGTAGCCGCCGCAGTCGCCGTGCACATCTTCGTCTTCATCCGGCACCAGCTCATCATCAGCGTCGTCGTCATCTTTCCCGACCATTTCATCTACTGCGACAACCACGAGCGACATTGGCTGGTGTTGCAACCGTCGTCGAGCCCTCCACTGCTGGCTCCTCCAACATGTCGTACAGCTCGTGCAGGTCCTGTCTATGCATTCCTGGGGCTGGTAACACCGACATGTGCCCTCATCCACGACGTGTCGCTAGCTTGACATCGACCATGGGGTCATGTGTGTCTCTATGTGTGTATAGGAAGTATATATATGAGCTGCCCATGAGGCTCAAGCAATACAACAATAATTTCACCAGCCCATGTATTCCATTTACAACTACTAATCAATCAAGATTACTCTAGCAGCCCATATTACTCTAGCGACCAGTCGAACACCAAGGGCGGCTGTTGATACTATTGGTACCGCCACCATGGTGCTGACACCAACATCTCCTCGCGCAGCAGACTGGCACGCATGGTAGGGGCGCGTGGGAAGCCGGTGCCATCTAGGCAGCTAGGCTCCGGGTTCCGGCCAGCAACCGACGAGGATGTGAGGAACGACGAGGTGGCTCCGTGAGGGGGACGAGCGTTCTGCTCGATGTGGACAGACCGTCGCTGCGTTCCTCCCTGGGTTGTCTTATTGGGCCGTTTTTTCTCTTTAGCCCAGTTAGAGACATAGGTATATACTAGCACATCTGCCCGTGCTTTGCAAAGGAAAAATATTTGACATGTGTTTCGTTGTACAAAAACCGCTAGTTTTTACTGCTCACCAAAACGTCCACCAAATAGTCCAGGATAAGTTTATATGAGTTATGCATTATAAGCACGAAACAAACCTTAGCACAAGGTACAACAATTTGGTCCTGGTATGGCATAGGTTATCTGCGCTTATGTTATACAATTTTGCTAAAGCACATCTAGATGTGCCACATGTAAATCCTATATCATTAGCTTTACACTAAGATTCGTGCAAGCATTTTCTTTTGTCTTTTTTTTTCTTTTTCTTTCTAGATGTTATACTCCTTATGTTGGAAGTGATGTGCTACTTTATTCGTTCATTGAACGAGAGATTTTTGTTGTTGTTGAGATTTTGAATGGGAGATTTTATTGACGAACTCAATCACCCTGATGGCACTCTAAAAATATATTATGTCTTACCAAAGTTATGTTAAAATACCTAACCATGCAATTCACAATCCTGTTTAATTAGAGCTAATCATCATGTGGCCACGAAAAAAACAGAACCACATGTCCTTTTTAATCATCCAGCATGCATGTCTCAGGAATCCGTTGTAATCATCCAGCCTGCACATGCAGTACGGTTACGGAGAGCAGGACAGGAGCGGCTGCGTGGCCGCCGTCTATGCCCGTAGTTTTTAGACCTGAGATATCTCGCATATGATATACATCCGACCCGTGCAGTTTATTTGTTTCCTCCTATATAAACACTCTCGTTGGACATGCAATCATCTGCGTTTGTATTTTAGATATTCTCTTTTCTTCCTTATTACAGTATTTCTTTTTCTATTCCCTTTTCTTAATCTCAACTCTTGATTTCCGCTTGCTGATCTCCCCCTCAACTCCATGATTTGAGTATAACTTCCTAACGTAGCCTCATTTTCGTCCTTTTCCCTCCAAGATGTGCTCCCTGCGGGGCCGTGTCATCAGCACACAAGCATGAGGTGCCCTGGTTGGTCATCTGAGTTCGGGTCTGGTGGCAAGAGATAATTAGACTTTAGGCCTAGCGTTGCTCGAGGTAGCTAGCTCGGGTGGTTGTCGTTGCTTCTATCCTTCATGAGGTCATGAGTTCAATTTCCACCGACACAAATTTTATTTTTCGTATATCTTTCGAAGCCTAAAAAAGAATAGCTTTGCTCGACGAATTGGGCCGGCCCGTTTGCGCACGCTCCCTTTAAAATTGTCGTTCGATCGCTATGCTCAATTTTTCTGAAAAAAGATCGCTATGGTTAACGTACGAAGGGACATAGAAAAAAGCCTTTGACGACGTACGAAGGATGTAAAAGAAAGTCTTTGACCAAAAAAAGTGGAGAAACAATCCTTCTTTTAATATTAGATAAAGATAAAGAATAAGCTGATCCAAAATCCCAGGATGGGCTGCGGCCCACCCCGTAGATCTGCCCTTGTCTCCATTTTTGCCGGCATGGTCACCATGGTTGCCACTCGCCGCCGAGGCGCATTTTTTTTGAAAAAGGTGGATTACCTCCGGCCTCTGCATCTGGACGATGCATGCCATTATTTTATTAATTGTTCGTAAAGACCTTACAAAGTACTAGTATATCAGGTAGTCTGAAGCCACCATCTTAGCAACAACCATCGCTACTCCTATCCACCTGATGAATGTGTGTCGTTAGTCCGAGTCTAATACCAAACAGAACATCACAAGAATGCCTAGCATCTAAAGCCAGAGGCCCCAACCAAGCCACACACTGGGTTCAGAGCCCTAAGTAGTTCGACGGACTCTCTGTGTTGTCGCCGCCATCTTCCATCAATTCATATATAGAGCAGAACCTAATGCGCCCACCTTGCCAGACCTCTGCCATTGACACCACCATGATCCCAGACACTATCCTCCTCCTGCGCGAGTCCATCTCCGCGCATCAGACTCCGAATCTCCACAACGCCATGTCGCCGAGATCCGTCGCCATCAATGCGTAAGATGAAGCGCCGCTCAACCAAAGAAGTCGCCCTCTAGTCCATCGAGCCCATGTGTACCTCCACAAATAACGCCCCAAAGGGGGAAACGACACCAGAGTGTCGCCGTCATCCGATCTGCTGATCTAAGGTTTCCCCCGGACATAGCAGAGAGTGGCCTTGAACTTCTCCACTGCGATGCCTTCAATAAGGAAACGACGCAGATGGCACTGCCACCGTCGGCCTTGGTAGTAGCCGAAAGCAAGTATTCACCCAGATTTGTTCGAAGAATCCATCTCTCGTGCACGGACCGCCGCCACCACCAGCACCACTAGGCCGAACACACGATGCCCAGAGGCTGCGAGACTCATCGCCACCAGGCCTGACAGGCTGCCACGGCCCGGCTCGAGCACCCCAGATCCGATCGGGGTCAAGATCCCCATGTCGCAGCAGCTGCCGAGGCAGCACCACCGGATGGGGACAAGCCCTGCACCTAGCCACAGAACGAGCCGCCGCCGGTGCTTGGAATCGCTGCGCCACCAAGCCATCACCAGGAAAAACTAGGCCTCCACAATGAAGGAGGGAGAGGCGCGCTAGGGGAGAGGCACCGCCGCCACCGGCA